TATAGTCTAGTCTATAGTCTAGTCTATAGTCTAGTCTATAGTCTAGTCTATAGTCTAGTCTATAGTCTAGTCTATAGTCTAGTCTATAGTCTAGTCTAGTCTAGTCTATAGTCTAGTCTATAGTCTAGTCTATAGTCTAGTCTATAGTCTAGTCTATAGTCTAGTCTATAGTCTAGTCTATAGTCTAGTCTATAGTCTAGTCTATAGTCTAGTCTATAGTCTAGTCTATAGTCTAGTCTATAGTCTAGTCTATAGTCTAGTCTATAGTCTAGTCTATAGTCTAGTCTATAGGCTAGTCTATAGTCTAGTCTATAGTCTAGTCTATAGTCTAGTCTATAGTCTAGTCTATAGTCTAGTCTATAGTCTAGTCTATAGTCTAGTCTATAGTCTAGTCTATAGTCTAGTCTATAGTCTAGTCTATAGTCTAGTCTATAGTCTAGTCTATAGTCTAGTCTATAGTCTAGTCTATAGTCTAGTCTATAGTCTAGTCTATAGTCTAGTCTATAGTCTAGTCTATAGTCTAGTCTTATAGTCTAGTCTATAGTCTAGTCTATAGTCTAGTCTATAGTCTAGTCTATAGTCTAGTCTATAGTCTAGTCTATAGTCTAGTCTATAGTCTAGTCTATAGTCTAGTCTATAGCAGACCTGGGCGATTTCCATTAATTTTGCATTAACATTAAATTAAAAAAAAATTAATTTAATGTAAAAAATATTGCATTAACATTAAATTTGTAAAATTTAATGCATTAAATTTCCATTAACATTAAATATTTTTGAATTTAATGCATTAATTTTACATTAACATTAAATATTTTTAAAATTAATGCATTAATTTTGCATTAACATTAAATATATATGAATTTAGTGCATTAATTTTACATTAACATTAAATAAGCAATAAAATTAATGCATTAATATTCCATTAACATTAATATATATAAAAATTGATAAACATAAATAAAAATACAGCACAAAAGACCTCGATCTAACTAAATACAACTAAAATTAAATAGGTTAAAGTCCTTTCTAATAACTCCTATATTCCATTCAAACTTGTGTGTTTTAAATATGATATTTATATAAGATTCCACAGACAAAATAAACTAAAAAAGGAATATCTGGGAAGTGATACTATTCTTCTAATATGTATTATCGAGTATAGGACTTATTCGAAAGGACTTTAACAAAATAAACTAAAAAAGGAATATATGGGAAGTGATACTATTCTTCTAATATGTATTATCCAATATTGGACTTATTAGAAAGGACTTTAACACATTCAATTTTACTTGAATTTAGTTAGACCGAGGTCTTTAGCGCTGTATTCTTATTTTTATAAATTATTTTATACATTAATGTTAATGGAAAATTAATGCATTAATTTTATTATTTATTATTTAATGTTAATGGAAAATTAATGCATTAAATTCAAAAATATTTAATGTTAATGCAAAATTAATGCATTAATTTCACAAATATTTAATGTTAATGTAAAATTAATGCATTAAATTTAAAAATATTTAATGTTAATGCAAATTTAATGCATTAAATGTACCCATGTTAATGTTAATGCAATAAACTTGCATTAACATTAATTTTTTTTAATGTAGAAAAAATTGTTAATGCATTAACACATTTAATGCATTTATCCCAGGTCTGGTCTATAGTCTAGTCTATAGTCTAGTCTAAAGTCTAGTCTATAGTCTAGTCTATAGTGTAGTCTCTAGTCTAGTCTATAGTGTAGTCTATAGTCTAGTCTATAGTCTAGTCTATAGTGTAGTCTCTAGTCTAGTCTATAGTGTAGTCTATAGTCTAGTCTATAGTCTAGTCTATAGTCTAGTCTATAGTCTATAGTGTAGTCCATAGTCTAGTCTATAGTCTAATCTATAGTCTAATCTATAGTCTAATCTATAGTCTAGTCTATAGTCTAGTCTATAGTCTAGTCTATAGTCTAGTCTATAGACTAGTCTATAGTCTAGTCTATAGTCTAGTCTATAGTCTAGTTTATAGTCTAGTCTATAGTCTAGTCTATAGTCTAGTCTATATTCTGGTCTATATTCTAGTCTATATTCTAGTCTATATTCTAGTCTAGTCTAGTCAATAGTCTAGTCTAGTCTATAGTCTAGTCTATAGTCTAGTCTATAGTCTAGTCTATAGTCTAGTCTATAGTCTAGTCTATAGTCTAGTCTATAGTCTAGTCTATAGTCTAGTCTATAGTCTAGTCTATAGTCTAGTCTATAGTCTAGTCTATAGTCTAGTCTATAGTCTAGTCTATAGTCTAGTCTATAGTCTAGTCTATAGTCTAGTCTATAGTCTAGTCTATAGTCTAGTCTATAGTCTAGTCTATAGTCTAGTCTATAGTCTAGTCTATAGTCTAGTCTATAGTCTAGTCTATAGTCTAGTCTATAGTCTAGTCTATAGTCTAGTCTATAGTCTAGTCTATAGTCTAGTCTATAGTCTAGTCTATAGTCTAGTCTATAGTCTAGTCTATAGTCTAGTC